CCCTTACTTTACTCGTTACTTGAAAAAAGTAATCGGATTACTGCCCATCTCTGCTACCTACACCCGGTTCCTCTGCTGAACATGTTACTTATCCAAACTGCATTTTAAACAAAAGTTTAAACTACACCTTAAAGCACAGTTAGAGTCAAACATCCAGCCACAAACAATGCAGTAATTTTCAAGATAAACCTTTCTGATTTTATTGCAGGTTTAAGGTTGACAGGACGACATGTTGAGATGTGTTTTCCTACAGTTTCTTTCCTTTGTTTTCATTGTTACTTTACCTTCGTGCATGTAATGCATGATTTGGTCAGTTCTCAACTGAGTGGGAAGCACAATTCCAAGCTGTTTAGGCTTAAATGTCAGTGTTGATTAATATTCACCGTCTCCCACACAAAGTTAATTGACAGATAAATGTAATAAGCTGTATGATTTGTTAGTTGGTGATGCAGTATGTGGGGCGATCAAAACATTTTATGAACCCACGAATAACAAAAACAAACATTTTTCTTGAATTGGACAGCCAGCCAAAACCTTTAAGAAGTGTCTTCGTGCACGTCAGCACCGCTTTTAGCCACTCACACATTTGAATCTATTCTACTGTGTCTACTGTGTCAAAACTCTTTTAAGAGGAGAAACTTGTATGAGGCTAAGACAGAGGCTGTTTTAACGCTGCGAGAGGGTGCATGATGGCATGTGCACAGTTCACATCACTCGTGTCAATTTTTCTGCCTTAAGCCTCAGTTATATTTTCCACGTCCACGAGTCCACTCGGGTCTGCTCGGTCTGAGTGACAAAATGTCGTCATAACACGGAAAGCGCGAAGGTCGGTGCAGATGTCTTTGCGCTTGGCTGTTTTTTTGTGACCGCGCAGACTTGTCAGCAGAGAACTGATATTATGGCTGCACGGCCATCGAGTCTCCAGCTGTCCGTGTCCACAACGGAGTATAATCAAGGCTTTAGACACCTCATGGTGCCGACTGAACCCCTAATCTAATTCGCTGTATTAGAGCTTGGACAATGGCCAGTCATTCTAAAACTGAGATTAATTTTTCAGCTAGATGCAATTTTGAGGTCCATGATAAAGTCACAATTGCAAGTGAGAGAGTGCTGGAGGTAGGGCCTAAATTTGTATCAAGGATTCACAAAACGTTTCGATCACACATTGTAAAGGTTTCTGCAAAAGTAATGCACCCCTCTGGTGCGAAGCAACATCGCTATAATACTATAAATTCTCAACATTCCTTTTCCTGGAGAAATACAATGATTGAAAAAATATATCTGTGAAAAGTACAAGACAAGAAACAAGAAGGATACCAGCCAAACCCTGAGGTGGCATAAGGGACACTATATCAACAGGCACAAAGAAGAAACATTTCACGGCTTACTGCTAATATCTTGAATCTTCACACATAATCTTAGACACAGTCACATCCCATATCTGTCTCACTAGCAGCACGCCTCATTGTGTGGGCTGGCCAGGTGCCTGCACCGAATGCCTACCCAATCTGCCTGGGCTAAGAGAAGGAGTGGGGGAGAAAGGAGAGAAATCAAGGAGGGGAAGGGGGAGGAGGAGTAAAACTGCTACTCACACTCGCCAAGTGTCTGCAGCTCCAGGGGAGTGCTGTACGCCCCGTAATCAATGGGCGGCGGGGACGAGGATGAGGATGAAGAGGAGGATGATGTAGAAGAGGAAGAGGACGTAGAGGAGGAAGATGAGAGCGGGGAAGAAGACAAGGCTGAGGAAGGAGCTGGTGTCGAGAAGGGGCGGATGAGGAAGACATATGTGGTGCCGGGCTTAAGGTTGTTGACACTGATCCGTGTGGCGGCAGTCTTCACGGTAGAATAACTCTGATCCTTTTGTTCCTGCAGAGATCGAAAGAGAAGTGAGAAAGAGGGAGGAAAAACAACAACAAAAGAGAGAAACAGGAGAGGAAGAGGTGGAGGAGTTAGACGCGTAGGAGGAATTCATTTGTGAGAGGGCTCGTTCATTTCCGAGGCACAGTTTGTAATTCTGGGAGATGAGGAAGACAACTTTGTAACAAAATCAGAGGCTTGGGTAATGTTTCATTTATTGAGACAGTGTTTCAAAGAGTCAGACAGTTTGGCACGCCAAGTTAGGAGTTTTTAACTTGCTTTTAATAAGGGAGCATTACTCATTGCTTTGGGAATAAATTATAAAAATCCCAGAAGGCAGTAACGGTGCGACTCCGTTTATGTGTAAAGTTTTTAGAAAAGCAAATATGGTGCTCATCTGTTGGATGAGAATGAGTGACACCTTCTACAATGCAGAAAAATGGGCTGAGTGAGTAACACATTCAAATAATTGCAACACTTGCTTTGTAATATACTTGTTTTTGCATGTTATTTGCAAAACATCTCCATTTAAAACAGCAAGTATAAGAAGTCTGCCAGGATTGACACGGATTCTGGTTCCCAAACAATGAATTTTAAAGTTTTTTAGCGACTCCCTGACTTTGTGCAGCATCTGCATGAAGTTGATCTGATGGTTTATATGAAAAATTGAATTTTCCCCAAAAGCGTGTGTGTGAAGGTCATCGTAGTCTAAGGAGCTTGGATTTCTTTAAATTGCTTGAAGACGTTTCACCTCTCATCCGAGAAGCTTCTTCAGTTCAGTTCCATAGGAGGTCCATTGTGCCTCTTTGGGGGACACTCCTATAGGGCTTAAATCTGGGCCTCTCCATGATTTGACCTTAGAACTGAAGAAGCTTCTTGGATGAGAGGTGAAACATCTTCAAGCAACTTAAAGAAGTCCAGATGCTTTTCTTTCCAAGCTCCTTAGACTTCCCAAAAGCTTCTTATTAAGCTTAATCTTGGTCAGCAGGTCAGATTTTTATATGGAGCTTATTGAAAAAAAATAGCAATAAAACATATCACATCGTCATCAGCTTTAGCCTAGCTCAGTAGCAAATGTTAGCATGCTACAAAGCCTATCTGAGTGTGATGGGGGGAAAAAAAATCCCCCAAAGCATCCGTATGTTATGGTATTATTGTGGCATTATGATGTGAATAAAGCAGCCACCGTGCCCACATAGAGAGCTGCTACATCTCTATGTTTTGTTCATTTGTGAACACAGAGGAGGAAATAAAGACAGCAGAAAAGTCAGATGAATGACACACACACAAACACACACACACACACACTGAAATAAAAAGAGATTAACTGAGAAACAGAACGGTTGCTGCTGCATAATGAGCGTACCCTGCAGAGTGAGCTAAGCTATGTGACAAGAGCTGACAGGAGAGAACTGAAGAGGAAAATTTTGGGAGTCTATGTAGATCTGAAGCGCGAAACAACAACAGCCCTCTGAGCTGACACTTTCCAAAGTCAAGTAACGAATACGCCGAATTAATCATCATTAGTCATTAACAGTGTTAATCGTTCTTATTGTCAATAATGTTTTTTAATTATTATTCATATTACGAGTTTAAATAGTTCAATTTTTAAAATGTTTAACAAATCATTAAATTAAACAAGTGATTTTAAAACATCAGTAAACACCATGTGGGCTCAGACGATGACTGCGCACTGTGGTAAAAGAGACAAAGAAAGAAAGAGGCAACATGCTGACTAAACAAAGCCTTTTCTTTCTTAAACTTTAATCTGGTTTCTGCATTACCTTTTCATTTCATGGCTGTTCAACAATTTTCCTGTCTTACTCTCAGTTATACTCCTTCTATCACTTATATTCTCTTTACTCATCCGTTTCCCACATTCTGCTTTTTTCCCCCCCTACACGCAGTCCCACTAAGCACTTTTTCATTTCTTTCTATCACTGTCTTACAAGCATATTTCCAACAAGTCATTTCCCCATCTTCCTCTGTCTCAAATACCCTCTTCACCCCTCTCTTTCTATCTGTTACCACAAAAGCTTTTCATCCCTCCAAAGTACACCACAATATTCCTCTTGTTACCTCTTCTTTACCCCGCATCTTTCCCCACCCACCTCTCTTCTAGATTTGTTCCCGTCTCTCTTTTTTCATATAAAGATCTGAGAGTAGAGCAGCAAGGAGCGGAGCTTTAATAAATATGATGAAGCATAGGGAAGAGAAGAAAATGTGAAAACTGGTGAGAGCTTGCCACAGCCAAACACAAAGACCTGGCATTGCCAGAAAACACAGTGTGTGAAAATAGACAAGTGTGAGTGTGACAGCTGTCATTTTATGTCCACGACAGATTTACCGTAAAGACTAGTCGCAATCTGCTATGCTATGCAAATGAGCGTGACACGGCAGATGAAATTACAGCGGGTGTTCATGAAAGAAAAAAAAAAAAAATTAATAAAGATATTCATTTATACATTAACTGGGCTATGAATGACTCTGAAAAAATATTCTGGAAACAATAAATGGTTGCATTTGAACATATGGCCTTCTGTGATTCTGCAGGGAGTGCTTCCAAGTGTTAAAATGTAACAATCTCGGCTTTTGTGGGAATCATTTTGACCTCTCAGAGTAGCTCTTTAATGTCCTTTAAAAATTTGGTTAATAAATAAATTTCATCAAGACACTGGTACTATTATAGTACATGTGAAAAACAAAATTAGTAACTAAAATACAAATAAAATCTAGATTAAAAAAAAGCATAAGTGAAATGATTTCAGAACTTGGAAAAATCCTAAAACGAAATAAAAATATAGAGTTTTGATATTTGTAGGTTTGGTGTAAATTTTATTACAACTTGCCTGATGAGGCATTGATGGAGGTGATTATTATTGTAATGCCTGTACTGATTTTTCATATATACCTCCAGCTCAAACAGCTGAAACAAGAAAATCTCTGAAAACTGAAACTAAACTAGTTAAAAAAAATAAAAAGTCAAACATGAAATAATAATAAAAACTAATAAAAAAATAGAAGACATGAACATGAAACATAAGCCTGTCAGAGCCGTGTGATACACGTCTATTATAGCGGCACGACCTCCCTGTTTATCTGCACTCTGTTCTGTACAGCAGGTTCTCTACTGCTTGTTCTTGCTATTAATATTGATAAACCTGTAATAGAAGTAAATTTGATCTTTAATATCAGCCACGAACATATCTCACTTCATTCTAATGGCAAAGAAAGAACCTCCAGAGTGCTGAACTTTTCCTCCAGTGAGTTGCTGAATGCTATTTATATCAAGCAAACACGAGAGAAATTAAAGTTTACTGCAGGTTTACTGCAGTGAGGAGTGGGTGTAGAAAATTTAGTTGGGCATCAGAAAGTCACCAGTACACAACGGACTTCTGAGGGACTCCATATGATGCATGTCATTCATTTTGTGAGTTCTTTCCACTATAGTTGGTACCTTTAAGTCTTTCCTCTCTCTCTTTGCACCGATCTGTGCATATCTAATAGTAATCTTATCTGTCTCAGGCTCTGGAGCTGCATGTTCCTGATCTGCAGTTACTGTCCCAACAAACCCGCAGGGCATTTATTATTATATTGCTTGCCGTGTCTCTGTGCACGTCTTTCATGTTTGCTTTTCCCTCGTCCCACGTGGTGAAAGTAGACGGCCAACCTCCCAGAGTATGATTCTGCTGGAGTTTTTCCACTTTCTTCAGTAAAAATTGTGTTTTTTTTCCTCCCTCCTCTACAAATAAGACTGAATTCAACTGATATTTATGATGAAGTAACAGCACATATACCTTTTCATAGTATTTGACTTCATATCCAGTCCGGCTGCTGTTGGGATAAGAGGGCTCTCTCCACACCAAGGTTATGCTCTTCTGTTCGATCTTCTCTGCTCGCAGTTCGCTGATAAGAGATGGCGCTACAGGGGGAAAGGAGGCGAGAAAAAAGAGGAGAAAGCCGAGTTTAGGTATGGTGGAAATACAGTGGCTACAACTATGATGTCTACCTTGACTCAATGAGCAAAGGTTAAAAGAGTACCATCAACTCTCTTAGAGAGAAGAAGCAGACACTTATATATAGTACACCTGACTGGATTTCCAGATCAAAAGGAAGAGAGGGAAAATGTCCGCATGAGAGGGCTCATAGGAAAGTCAGGTATAAAGTATGAGAGGTAAGAGATTAAATACTGAAGCTAAAATGTGTCAAAGCAGGTAGCTGCCCATGAGTAGACAAAGGTTGTCTCCCTCTTTCCATTTGTGTGTGTGTGTGTGTGTGTGTGTGAATGAACAGCTTCCAGATCCTTTACATCAGGATTGACAATATATCAATACCAATATGGGCTGAGTGACAAGTCTTTATTGACACAAGACAAACGGACAGAGGCACTCTTAATCTTAACTTTCTATTTCTTCTCCAGGTCTCTTAATTAAACTGACCTCACTTCAGTGTTTTCAGACTCAATCCAGAAAACTGCACTGGAATTTAGCCTGACACATAATTCGGCTCTTATTGATCACGCCAGTGCAATACATGAGGAATGATTCTGTTCAAAGCTCATCCAAATTTAGATGCAGTGCATAATGACAGTTGCTCACAAAGCAAACACTCTCATTACTGATGAAAAACTAGTTCTTTGATTCTGTGTCAACAAATGACAGGCTGCGCATAGTATGATAATCAGCAAACACCACCCACTCTTGCTTAAGTGCTAATTATACGGCTAATTATACCATGTGTAATGAAGTTGCAAAAAGGGTTGCCAGTCAAAAATACTAAGAAAAATAATGTGGTGTATTTAGCTTAAAAGGCCTTTATGTTAGGAAGGAGTGGTGCTATTAAGGCTGGGCGACAGGGTGAAGTGGCAGAGAGGTTTACGAGGGGGATTTCTAGATTTCATTTACTTAAATGCACATCAATATCTTCAATAGCATTCAAAAATATCCAATTAAGTTCCATATTTTCTGTGGTTTATTTTACTTCCCTTTTGTAGTGCTTGCTCTTTTTTTTTTTAACCTTAATTCATTCCGACAATAGTTACCCCATCAGTTCTTTTCAAGTCCATTTCTTCCTCATCTCCTCTTTGACCTTTAGCCATCAGTTTGTCTCATTGCTCCTCGAAAAAGGCTACGCTAATGAATATGTTCTGTCTGTCACTCACACGTAAACACATGAAACACTGCACACATACACACATATACACATGCACGACCTCCTCTCAAACAGCAGGATAATAGTCATTTTAGGCAGCAGATCAAAGGCAATCTGTCAGCATTGCTCTCTCTCAGTGTCCACCTCCATCTGTCATTTTTTTTATGTCGCTGCAAACACAGGTATAATGCATTTTTCGTGATAAGTATGTGACTTTTTGTTTCATGTTGGAAGTAAGGATGTATATCCATATGTGTTTATAGGCTGATGTCAAGTTTGCCAATGGCCACTGCAATCACAGATGCGTTTTATTTTTGCCCAATCAAGCTGAAAGAGGGAAATCCAGGCCATATGGAGACTATTAGTGTGAAAAAAGGATTAAAAAATTGATTTTTTTTCTTTTTCATACAAAAGAATCATTTACTTGGATTCAGTGATATTAACACTAGTTATCACCAACACACCAAATAAATCCAGACATTCCTCAACAGCTGTCTCAGAAGGATTCTCCACATTTGCTGGGCAGACACAATCAGTAACATCAAACTATGAGAAAGAACTTGTCAACTCCCAGTAGAGGAAGAAATGAGGAAGAGAAGATGGTGCTGGGTAGGGCGCGCTTTACGCACATCGCCAACCAACATCACCAGGCAAGCTCTCAGGTGGAACCGCCAAGGCAAGCGAAAGAGAGGCCACCCAAGAAACTCCTGGAGAGGACACCTCGAGGCAGAAGCAAAAATGATGGGCTACACCTGGACCCACCTAAGAACGGCCCAGGACAGAAATCTCTGGAGATCTACCTTTGGCGGCCCATACCCTGGGAGGTGTGACAGGCAGTAGCAGTAATAGTAGTATCACCAAGACATTAATACTCACCGAACACTGTATTAGTTAAACCTTGCTAGAACCTGATAGGAGGATCTTTTGCCTTGAGTACTGCCTTAATTCTTCAAACCATAGTTTGGATTAAACAAAATGCTGAAAACACTCTTCAGAGATTTTGGTCTCTGGTGACATGACAGCATCACATAGATTTGATGCAAATTTGTCAGCCGACTCTCCTTTTCCAACACATTCCAGAAAGCTCTACTGGAAATTTGATGACTGTGGAGGCTATTTAAGTATTGGGAACTCATTGTCATTTTCGGGAAACAAGCTGGAAATGATTTGATCTTTGTGACATGGTGTTTTCTCCTGGCCTAGCCTCAGCTTCTTCTTGTTCTTCTCTCTTCTGCTGCTTTAAGGTTTGATGTGTTCAGACATGGGTTTAAAGATACTCTTCTGTATATCCTGGATGTAATGTAAAGAACCCTGGTCATTCTCCTCCGACCTCTGACATCAACAAGGCATTTTCACCCAGATAATGGGCGCTTATTGGATATTTTCTCTTTTTCGGGCTACTCTCCATAAACTCCAGAGAAGGTTGATCACCTTCATTCTGATGCTCAACTTCAGCAGGTCACCTTGACCATGTCTTCAGTTGCTGCCATATGTGTAATCAGTTTATTCTAATAAGTATTAAGAGTGAGCAGAAGTTTTAAAAATAGATATACATATTAAGAGCAGTTAGAGATCTTTTGAAAATATCATCATTACTTTAAGTCCTCAAGGTATTCTGAAGGATATTCCTGCATAATGTGAACACGGCACATTGTACAGATGCATACACAGTAGGGGAAGAGCAGTCGGGGAAACCATAGGCGCTCTAAAAGTTGTTATGATGTTAATGAACACGACACACGAATGTAAACAGACATAAGCAAAGAAATTATTTGCGGTGATTAATGAATATGCATGGGCATTAATTAAGTGGGAAATAGAATAAAGGATGTAGATGGTATAGTTAGGAGAAAATAAAGGGATTACCTCCACGATAAATGAAAGGACTAGACAAACAGATATGGAAATAGCAAAGGTATTGGGAGGAAAGAAGAAAGCGAAAACTGTTAGCAACACTTGAAAAGGTATTTAGGTCCAAATTAAATTTTTACCATTAAAAAAAGCATTAAGCCTAATGTGTTTAAATTACAGAAAATAATTACCTTCTATGTTTATGTGTTTAAAAACTGCTGAGCTAATGAACACCATTACTTCATTTTTGATACAGATGGCTCACACCTATTTTCTCTATTATTTATTTCCTCTGTTAAAAACATGCATCCTAAATAGATGGAAAATTTATAGGAATCTAAAATACGTAATCCTAATCTTATTAGAGCTCAACTATTTTGAGTGAATGCTTGAACAGACAGTCCCTACTTTCTCAAAGCCTCTGACACTCAAATACAAGAAGAAAGGTAGCTTAACATACTAAAGCAAGAACACAGTGTCAGCCTGCTCTGGAGGCTATTGTTTGCTATTCTTTCCTTCCTTCTATGCTGAATTATGCATAAGACTATTCCCTTCCTCCAAAGCGTGGATCACATCACAGCTCAATCTGACACACAATAAACAAGTGTGCACTACAATGCAAAAGTAATACAAAGGTTAAAGTGGTGCTTCCACCTCAGCAAAGAAGCGCTGTAACTTGTTCGCCAGACAAACTAGCATCAAATTCGCCCGTATTTGAAGTGCTTTAGCACATAGGTGTGCAGACTGTACTGTTACTTTTTTTCTGTGCTGCTATTTACCAAATGTTCCTTTGAGAACAGAGTAGGGTTCATCTCTACTTTCAGCAGATTTACACATTTTGAGGTTATATTTTTGCAACAACCATAAATACAAAAAAGTTAGGACGCTCTGTAAACAGAATGTAATGATTTGGAAATGTCACAAACCCCTATTATATTCACATTAGAAGACTGAAAACATATCAAAGGTTTAAACCAAGACATTTTGCTTGATTTAGTATTTTTGATGGCAGCAAGACGGCTCAAAAAAGTTGGGATGTGGGCTTCAAAAATTCAGTGGTACTAAACAGAAAGAGCTGGAGTCGAATTTTGCAATTAAATGTGTTAATTGGCAACAGGTCAGAAACGAGCGACAGGCAGAGTTTCTCAGAAGTTAAGATGGGCAGAGATTCACTAATTTGCAACAAACTGTGTCTACAAGTTGTGGAATAATTTCAAAATAATGTACCGCAATGTAGAATTGTCAAGATCTTTGAAATGTAATCATCTACACTACATAGTATGTATTAAAAACACAGTTCACCCTGCTATCACACAAATGCAGGTTGAATCATGCAAAGAAGAAGACACCACATGTAAATATGATCCAGACACAGCACCTTCTACTCTGGACCAAAGCTCATTGACAATATACTGAGGCAAAAGTGTTCTGTGGCGAATTAAATTGAAATTTGTGCATCTTCTGGACTAAAGAATAACATTCAGCTTGGTATTGGCACACAGTTCAAAAGCCTGCATCTTTGATAGTATGGGATTTGTTAGTGTCTGTGTCACTGGCTGCTTGGATTGTATGGCTTGGAAAGGTGCTGACAGTGCTGAAAGGTGTGTACAAGTTTTAGAGCAGCATATGTTCCCACAAACTAGTCTAGACTTTCACCAACGGAAAATATTTTTCTTTGAATGACACATTTTCTCAGTTGAAACATCTGACGTGTTTTCTGTTGTAAATAAAATATGGGTTTATCAGATTAGGAAAAAAAAAAAGAGCCCCAGCTTTTTTGGAAAAGGTGAAAAAAAGAAAAATGGTACTGCACTACCGGTGTGCTTGATCTAGATGGCCTGAATAGTTCAGTGACTTTTTCTCTCAACTGACCCAATGAGAAGAAAAGCAGTGTGTTCCAGGACATCCTGATTTATAAAC